CCTTTCCTCTTCTCTCTCTCTCTCTCTCTTTCTTCACTTTTAGTCAGTTCGACTTTGAAGTTTTGTGCGTTTATACGTAAAAACGCGTTGTCGCAATCGCGCGGATTTCGCTCGGCGATTCAGATTTCGGCGGGTTCTTTAGTTGTAAACGCGTGAATATAAATGCATTATGTTGAGTTTCGTCTCACTTCCGTCGCCTGTCGCTTCCTATCGTGCGGCCAGTTCAATTCTAGATCTACAAGCGTAGAATTTGTCACTAGAGCTTCGACTACACATTTACATCACAGCGAGCTATTAACGCTGAGCAGCTGCGAGAGCCGAGTTGCAACGACTTTTGCGAGCAATCGCCGAAGCTTTAATTATATTCCCTTGGGCGCGATATTAGCGCAAATGGGAACAGTTAGTGTGGAGATTTAGCGCGATTTGTCTTAATGGCGATTTATCTCGCGGGAGAGCATTACAACCGAGAAGACTCGTCCAGCTGCACTAGGCGACTAATGGCGGAAGACTTCGGCACACGCTATATAGTATAATAGACCTTACAATAAGTTACATTCAACGGTCTACGCCGTCGATATTCTTCTCTTTTTCTCGCGCGCGGTTAAAATTAGAGGTAGTACATATTATATATATCGAAAAGTAGTTCTCGTCATCAGCCACTTGGAGTCATCGGGGGATTGTCTTGACACATAAACGACAGGCATAATCGATGAGCAATCGTAATTACTTCTATCATAGATAAAATCTTAGGTAAGTCTTTAAAACAACACTTGGATAATTAACGTGAAGTCGAGTGAAAGAGACTAGAAACTCGCTTTATCACTTTAACTCGTTAAAGTCCGTATGTCAAAAATACGAGTGTATTATGTATATTTACGAATAGTTTTTTTATTCAACAAAAAAGAGTTTATGTTTGGATATACGGGTTTAATTTCAACGTGTGTCACGACGCGGAAGCGGCGGCGCATCAAAATCGACGAGACAAAACTCTCATATTTTAAAATACGTTTATTAATTTTAACGGAATTATTTTAACATGCGCATAAGTGAGACGTTCGAAAAATCGCTCAATCGCGTTCGCCGAAGTTCCTTTTTTCGTCGCATCACCCTGTACATCTACACTACTGCAATATCCCTATGAACCTATTAATCTTCGTTTATTTAACTTGTATATTTGTTTAAATTGTTTTGTCTTTTTTCCTTTTTTTTTCTTCTGTCCACCGTAACTCTACTACTCGTTTAATCGGAAACGATTCGATTCGCGAAAGTCGACTTAATCGTATAATATACTGTCGTAAAAAGGAGATTTCAACGATTTCGTACAGGCGAGAAGTCTCATATCTAATATGTTTTAGTATTATTATTGTGTTATTATTAATAGAGTGATAGTACTATTATTATTTATCATTGTTATTACTCGTTATCACTAACATTATCTTTATTATTATTATTATTATTATTATTATTATTATTATTATTATTATTTCTTGTTTATATTACAAGAGTACACTTTACGTAACAGCCCCGCGCGTTTTAAGTTGTCGATTTTTAAAGGCGCAAATCACGATATAATGCCGCTTATCTGATTCCCTTCTTTTTGCTATCTCTGTTTTTTTTTGTTTTTTTTTACATATATTTTATTATTCGCTCGTTTGCTTAAAGTATTTAAGTTTGTACGAGAATTTCATTGTCCACCGCCGCTCTCATCTAAGTTCCACTAATTAATACGACAGAAAGATCTATGTAATCCAGAGAGATTTTAGCGAGATCAGCCATGTATAAATTCATATCACATCACACACACACACATGCAAAATTTTATATTACTCAAAAGATAATTCCGTATCAATCTTTGTCAAAAGTTTTTTACAGACATTTCTCTGAAAAACATGTGTAGGGGGAAAATGTTATTTTTTTTTTATTATTAACTAAAAATAAAACTTTATTCTTTGCTTTGAAAATCTGCCAAGACTAAAACCGAACGATTCGTGCTGGCTTTAATTTTAATGCACGGCATGTTTACATACATTATGTCCCCCTTTCTAAGAGTCTATCCGAACTTATGACTATTCATCACGATTATTCTCGACTGCGAGAGCGGCGGATCACGCCATATCCGAGTACGTTTGCTGCATTATCTTCATAGGACTGTCCAATATCGAGTTCAAGGAGGTGGAAACATTTTGCGTGAAGTGTATGTCACGTTCCGCTTGTTATTAATTTAAAAAATTTTACTCTTATAAGAATTCTCTGATGTTCGAAAATTCTTCGAGCTGAATTCTCAAAATTCTTCGATGGCAATTTTTAATTCTCTTTTCGATTTTTTTGTCATAGAAATCGTGAGAAAGAAGCCTTTTAAAAATTATATAATTCACGTTTCCGTAATATCATACGCGTTCGAGTTTTGTTATACCGTAAAATAGGCGAATTTGCGCCATGACGAGAAAAAGATTTCAAAACCATTCAACGTGATGGACATTGCTGCTGATTAATCAGCTATTGTTTTCTGAAACCTTTTCCTCTTTATTTGCGAAATTGCAATACGTACAATACCAAAAAATCCTGCGATTGTTTTGTTTATTTATACATATATATATTTTGTGTATCTTATAAAGATACTCTAGCTACTTCCGCGCAAAGGGAAAAACGTTTTGTTGTTCTTGCCGTCGCTCGCGATGCGCTTATTTAATTTATAGGAAAATAAACCAGCAGTCGTTAGCGACGAATTACAGTGAGCAATTTTCTGTCTCCGACGTGAATTTCATTACGATATGTGTGATAATACACATTTACAATTAATTATAATTATAGAACAAGTATAGAGTCTCTTATATCAGTATCGCGTACTGTCTCGCGCGTAAGTATTTATTTATTAATTTTTGTATCTATCTAATTGTTAAACACACCCTTCAATTACGTTAAGATCACGCGGTTGCTTCGCTAACACAATTTTTTTGATACCCGTAATGTTTCTAGGACTCGTAATCCATGTATAATATCGCTGCTTCTATATTAATTAATTTTATATCTGCGATATAATTAATTTCGCTATCGATTTGATACGCGCTTATAACAATTTGCGGTTAGATCCGAGCGAACAAGCGAGGACTTTTCTTAAAACAGAAAAAACATATCTACTTTCAACGCAACAGCGATAAAATAATTTTTCATCAAGATTTGAACATAATGTGGCTATACTTCGAATACGAAACGTGTCTTACTGACAATAAATATCAACAAATTGTTTATATCAGTAAGAAACAGTCTTGTTTTGTGATTTTGTGAGAACGTCAATAGTGATCTCTCGTCGTTTCAAATAAAAATTTGCAATTAGACAAAATGAGAATGTGAAGTTTAGCCACATTTGTCTCTGTATATAAAAATCGAATGACGAATGATTTCTACTGTGTGCTCGATAATCGTAATAAATCGACGTTGCTAGTCACCTTTCCACCAACTTGAACTACAGCAAACGCACGTAAAAAGGAACGATGGAACCGGATGTCTTCTTACGACGATAAAAGTCGCCGGAACATACGGCGATTTTTATCGTACAAAGAGCGGACTGTGCCGGCACTAAAATGTCGATGTTTCGAACTATACGTCTTTTTTTTTTTTTTTTTTAGCAAATTTCTGGTTGATTTCGTGTTAACTAGTGACACAATTATTAATCGCGTTTTTTTTTCTCTCGTCTATATAATAATATATACTCTACTCTCCTTATACAATTGTAATATAACTCGACGTTTTTTATTCTGCGTATTGTTTTTTTTTCTTTTTTAATCGTTTTTCTTCTTCGCACATTAAAGATCAAAACACCGTTCTTTTACGATTTTACGTCTATGCGTAATCCTGCCCACGCAATATGATCAACAACAAGTTAACGATACTTTAATAATTTTTTAATAGTATTTGTTAAGAGATAACGCGCGATGTGATTGGTTGTCGCGTATTCGCTGCCGCAAAAAATGTTCAATACGATTTGAGTTCATCTCTCCGACATCTCGTCGACCGTGTCCGTCTACGAGTCTGTACGTGAGCAAGAGTAACACTTCTATTCTTTATCGGTCGCCATCCCACATCGCTTTCTTCTTGCCTAGCATGACTAGTCGCGACTCCGTCGCATCCACAATTTTTTTTGTGCCACAACTCTCGAGCATTTCGTGAATTGAAACGAAGAACACACATAATGTACATTAATGTTTTTAAATACGCTTAAAACTCATTTCTACTTTGTTGTTTCTTGTAGAAAAACTGTTTGTCGCTATAAAAGAATAACAGATAAAAGAATCTTCTCGGAAAATGAATCTTCTCACACCATTGCAAACAAAAGTTAGTTTATCGACCAATACATAGCTTGTTCTGTGCGCATTGTCTCCTTTGTGCTCACTTCTCCCGCATTCTTTTTCACAGTGTCCTTCGGATCTTCATCGCGACTTATTCGAAAGAGTATTTATGTTACATAACCGTCACGTAAATTGTAGAGTACAAATCCCCCGTTTTATTAAATCACCTCGTCGATTTTTTTACATACTAATGATACGGATAAAAAAATTCTTGGTTATTTAAATAATTACCTTGGCAGTTCGTCGTGTGTTCTGAGAATGAAACGTGTGCGTTTTATCCATAAAAATCCAACCCTGTGTTCTTCTCTCTTTCTTTGCTGTTGTTTTTCTATCTCTTTCGATTACTGTTTCATTTCTCTCGTTTTGTTTTTGAGCGCTTCTTTCGGTATCTCATAGAAAACCAATATCGATTGGCATATAGCAATCTCCGAATTGTTTTTAACACTACTCGTTTGTGGTTTTCTATTTTCCCGTAAATATTAATCAAGTATTTAAAACGTTTTTTTTTTTTTTTTTTTTTGATTTTATATATATCCACACTTCCGAGCGCGTATTATTTCTCATTTGAGTTTTCGGGTTTTACATTGTTTTGTATAAATTTACGTTGCTTTATATATATTTTATATGTGTATATACATACATATATATATATATATATACATACATATATACATATACATACATATATATAGGTATACATCTTAATGCAAATTCGTAAAAATATTGCAAGACTTATTTGGACTGCCAGTCATCACATAATAGTCTTTTACTCCTAACAATAATATTCCTGCATATATATATATATACATATACATATACATATATATATATATATATTCGGAGGTTTCTATATGAGATTAATTTTGGATATTTTTAAAATTCACTGCGCAAAATTACGCTTCTGTGTGTGTGTATGTATCATTGCTCGCATAATGTGCATGTGTGTACGCGTGCGCGCGTGTGTGTGTGTGTGTGTGTGTACGTATGTGTGCGTCACATCCCTAAGCAGTCGCAGAGGACAGAGTCGAAATACGCTTTTCTCAATTCGATCTGCATTACTCGTGTGTGAAAACTGAACTTTCTTACAAGACCATTCACTAATTCGTTCGCGAGAATGTCAGCAGTCATTTTCATTTATATAAAGTGGTGTTTCGTCATGTCGACTGCTTTTAGGGATGCGTGTAACAAAGTTACAACAAAAACCAAGTGTATAATATATGTATACATATATATGTATATATATATATATATATATACACGTGTTTCTCGTTCTTCGCTAATTCGCGCGATTTTCCGCGCCGTCTAAAAACTGTGTATGTGTTTTTCGCTAAGGCTTTTCTCCTCACGCAGAATAATAATTTTACGATAAAATTTACCGTAACTATTACGTAATTAATATTAGTACTATTATCGTTTATCTCATTATCGATAGCGTTATTATTTTTATCCCTTTTTTTTATTGGTATTGTTATGTATATATTATAAAGAAAAACAAAGTTACTCCCCGTATTGCTTTCTTCCTAACGCGCAGATCACCAAAACGAAGCGGCATGCGAACCCGAAGACGTGCAACCTCGAGCCCGGTCCGGCGGAGTCCGGCTAACGATAAGGACGTCGACGGCGACCGGCGCGCAATCCACGTCGGTCCCGGCACTACCGCCGGCAGACTGGCTTTTCTGAATCACGTGACGATAATATGCGGCGCCGACATCAGGACGGTGATGGTAGCGATGATGGTGAACAGAGTAAAAATGATTAGGCACATTCTATCGATCACCATCGCCGCGAACTTCCAGTCGTTCGAGATCTTCGTGTTCTCATCTCCGCTCTTCAGTTGATCCGTTATTATCTGAAAACGGAGATCGTTGCTTCGTAATGACTGTACCGATTTCGGTTTCGTTCGGATAGCTTGCTTTCGTGTTAAAAGCAATTTTTGGCACAAGAGCGAGCTATTCGAACATAGTTTTCAGTCTTAATCTTGGAAAGACCATATGTGTCGCTGAATATCATTGGATCACGATGCGTGTTACCTTAATCTCTTTCAATATTAGCACGAGCTCATAACGCGCGTCCCAGAAGCTCGTGTTCTGGACTATCTCGACCGGCTGCGTTGACGCGTTCGGTGGAATTGGATGATGATGTGGCGTTTGCGAGATTCCATGGGCGGGAGGAGGATACGGCGAGTGCGGCAACGGCGTCGCGTGCTGATGGTGCGGAGTCGTGGGCGCGCGGCTATGATGGTGATGGGGCGTCGTGTGTATGTGACTGCAGCTGTGGCCCATCGGATGAGCTTGATGCGGTCCGGGTGTGCTGTACACGTTGTTCAGCAGATTGTTGTGAGACGGCAACGCGTTGTCGTCCAGATCCAGAACGTTCGCCAGTAACGACCTGCTACTCCTCTGGTGGAGTTCTAGGTCACCATATGACTTGCTCGCACCTAGAACACGTGTTCCAAAACACAAACATTTTAAATAAAATATAATTTATAATACATATGTAAAACAAAAATGAATTTAACAATTTAAATGCTTGTGACAATTTACAAATAAGTATTAGGGTCGATACGAGCCTACATGCTGGATGTCTATGCAAATATAAATATATTTTTTAACTTTTCCTAAACGTGTAAATTAATACACATAGAAATTCGAAGTAAATTTAAGTAATGGCAGAGGTGTCTTTTTTGCAATGGATTTTTTAGTTTTCATTAGGGGGGGGAGTAAATTGAGTATTTCGCATATTCGTGATGCAAATCAAGCATCCTGTGTGAATTTTTTGAATTAAATTTAAATCGATTTTCTATGTGTATTAATTTATACGTTTAGGAAAAGTTGAAAAATATATTCCAAAAAAACATATTTGCATACAAAGACATCCAGCGTAGAGTCGTATCGATCGATAATATTTATTTATAAAAATCAATTCAATTGTCAAACTTAGTTAATTTTGTTGCTTCGAAGAACATATATATATTGTCGAAAAATGGAGACACTCAGATAGGCGCTCACGTATATACGAAAAGAGTAGGTGTATGTATACGCCCATACGTATATCACATTTTATATTACAAGTTTATAGAATAGAAAACTCAGGACCGATACAGTGGTCTTGCGGCTTGAGTGCGAGGGCTGCGAATGAAAGGTCCCGAGTTCTCGAATCCACACCGTCGAAGTTTTCTGGGCGGGTCTCTTTTAAAGTCGAGTTTATCGACTGAAAAGCGAACTGAATCGCATCTCCAATCAGCGAGTTAACTTATTAGTATTATTAATAATTTGTTAGACATTTGTTACAACACTATTTTTTCTCTTTTATAGAAAACTTAACAGAGCGCATCGTAAACACTTTATATATCACCGTCGAGTTGTCAGCGACACGTTCCACAGCAATCACTTTTGTCACAAGCGCGCCAAAATGAAAAAGTTAGTGTGTCTTTTAAATTTGTTTTATTTCTTTCTCTTATATAAAATTTTCTTACCTGTGACTGGAGATGGTCTCTGAGACTTTTGTATTTCCTTGTCCTCTTCTTGTCCTGGCCTTGACATTCGGAGTATTTTGGGCAACCAAGTCAGGAAAACTACCTTGACCTACGGTTCAATTGTCAATATAGTCGTTGTGTTGATCAATTTAGCGTAGTAAGCGTATGTGCATACATTTCGCAAAATCGATCGCGCAAAATATTATAAATCTTTGAAATTTACATCCTAATTAACGTGATGTCCGTCTGGCAAAAACTTCAATTTTCGCGGCATGATTTATTATCGCGGTACGCATTGGCCCTTAATTATTCATTCACAAAATTCTGGATTTATCCATGATGAAAAGAGAATGGCGCACGTTGAATTTAATTAAAAGCATAATTATCTGCCGATACATGCGGAAGTCATATACCAGCCAACGGATTGATTCGAGCTTTGACACTTGATTTTCGTCGTAGCCTTTTGTGCGAACAAGAACAAATTAACAAATTACTCTTCTCTCTCTAAAATATTTCAAGATTAAAAAATTAAAAATGCTATTCTAATCGATTCATTTAAGTAAACTTAATAAATGCAATTGCTTCAATTAGAAGACATTACCCATTGAGACATTTCGTGAGTGTCAGAATTTCGATGATGATAATTCAAGATGAGAATTGTACTGACTACGCTGCTGGCTACCATAAACATGATGCAGTTAAAGTATGTCCCTGAAAACAAATTAAAGAATAAGACTTACAAATGCACTGGATTAACAACTAACAATAAGTAAGAAACAAAGTGACATGGTTTAAGAGGATACTGAAGCGACAGTCAAACTCCGATTTGACAGCTGCTCAGCCGCTACGCTGTCAGGGGGTGTAGGTAGCACCCTCTAGTCAAACTAAGACAAGAATAGATGACATAATAGAGACAAGGTTAGGCGTATGTCTTTCCGGCGATTCTGCTAAAACTGCATTAATTTTATTTCCGTACTCCTGTTTTTTACAGGCTTCAAAGTTTTTTTCTGAAACGTTCAAAATATTCGTCTATGTCTGTAGAATGGAAAATTTTTAACTTGTTTGAATTCATTCTGTCAATTTTATATATACGAAGTGTCAATTTTATATACAAAAATGGAGTCCACTTAGTAACAGTTGATAAACTTTTTTTTATTTTTTTTTGAGTTTTCTATTTTTTAGCATATTTTTTTTATTCCGATCAATGAATGCAAAATAAGAATAGAAATAAGAAATGTGGATAAAACAGGACGGTTCAGCATCCTCTTAATGCTTAACTTCACGAAGTTTACATACTCGTAAACTAAATCTGTATATTTCTTTTAATAAGAGATATTATATGTGTGTATATCTAGTAGAGAATATAATAAATTGTGTTCCAATATGTGCGTGTATTGTTTAAGTTTTGAATTAATGAATTCGAGTTTTCTTGCTACAGATCAATTCAACAAAAAACATTGTCCTGAAATAATACAGGTAAACATTCCCTTCGTTTCTTCCCTCCCTTTTCCCACACAAACGGTTCGCAATATGGATGATCAATTATCTGTCGATGCTTTCTCATATTGAAAAATTAATCATATTGAAAATCACTTAAATCGCGCTCACCTAAAAGCGGCACAGCATCGGACGTCGCTGGCATTGTCTCGGCGACCATATTCAGGAACACAGTGAGGGACAGGAGAATGGTTACACCTGTAAAAGAGGTTTATTGGCATTGATTAAATATCGTTAAAGTCGAGTGGGGTCAAGAAGAGGTCAATCTTTTGCCCTTGAACACTCCGAGAGTTCGATCCTTAGTGCGTAAAAACTTTGCATCCTCGAAAATCCTTCAGTTCTCATCCTGAGAAACAATGTGATGTTTCTTGTTATCGCTCAAAAGTACCGGACTTATTACAAAAATTATTTGTCCTTTTTATAATTAAAAGATACTTTTTGACGCAAAAATCAAAATGTGTTTAAAACAAGTAAGATTAATATAAGTTTTTTTTTCCCCCCATATAACGATTAAAATCTTAAACAATGAAGAAAAAATTTGTTCCTAGAAACTAATTATCCATCGCTTCTTGTGTTTTAAGCTTATTTGCAAACCGTGGTATCGCGTTAAGAGGTACTTCGAAATTATTTAGACTTTCAAAACGCCACTGTATCCGTGGCAGGAGCCTCATCTGAATATCAAACCTGGCTCGAGCTTCGAGACTCACGATAACGCGTTGAGAAGTGTTCTAAAGTTCCCTGAAAAACGCGAAGATCAATCACAATCGAATCGTGTTGTTTCTTTTTTTTCTCAAGTATTCCGCTTGTAAAATAAAATATTTTTTATTTCTTTCATCATGTCGAAGAACACTTTTATCGATATCGTTGAAAATACTAAGTTTTCTGGGTTTATGAAAATACCGGTTTCTACGAAATACATCAAAGTGGTTCAGTTTTACATTAGAAAAAAACTGTCCAATTAAATTGTAATGTTTATTCGAGTTTTTTTTAAATAAAATAACGACAGAGTGTGCAAAATAAATGAGATAAATGGAAATATAAAAAGTTGCTTTGTGTAGATTATTCTTTTTTTCCTAATAAAAGCCACTCCTGTTAAGACGATCGTTCTAAAGAAACATATCTTTGTGAAAAGACATTATTATCGCGTCTCGATCTATGAATAGCTATGAGCTGCGAGGGAACTTGCGACGGAGACGATCCCAATTGCTCGACATTGTCATTCCATTGTCGTCGTATCTCCGCCTCGGCGACGCCGATTGTCACAATCGCTTCCGAATTCAGTGCGGATTCAGTAACGCGCTTGTACGCTTGAAGAAACTTGACGATCGAAATAGAAGGCTCGGCGAAGTTTGCGCGGCGGAAACGCAGTTTCAATCGAAATCGGGGCGAAATCTAATCGTGTAAATGCCCTTTGCGAACTCGCGTGCCGGACTCTAATCACAGAAACGGCGTTTACACAGTACTACGGATGAGAAGCGGGCAAGGATTTGGAATTATACGCCGAGCGCGATTTGTGAGCTTTAGGAAGCAGGATTTCCTCTTCAATGTGTGCAACCTTGTTAAATTTCAAAACAACACCACGCTGATAAGAAAGTTTCAGCCAAAATATTATTAGTTGGCCATTGTTCGATTATTTGTCATTTCCGTGAATTAGGAATAAAACACTTTATTTCAATCTTTCTATATCTTACTGTAGTAAGAAAATCTTAAAGTGGGTCTGTTTTTTCGACAAAACTGGATTTTTTGTGTACACTAATCTTTTTTTGGCTATATGGATTGATAAATCCTTTTCTACAATTAAAGCACATACAATAAGGAATCCGGAAAGTCCAAATGTATATAACAAACTTTAAAATAATGTTCTAAAACTATTATTATTTTTTTTATTTTGTTATATAAATTTGGACTTCCCGGATCCCTTGTTGTATGTATTTTAATTGTAGAAAAGATTTATCAATCCATACAGCCAAAAAAAGATTAGTGTGCACAAAAAATCCAGTTTTGTCGAAAAAACAGACCCAGTTTAAGATTTCCTTACTACAGTAAGATATAGAAAGATTGAAATAAAGTGTTTTATTCCTAATTCACGGAAATGACAAATAATCGAACGACAAAAAATAATATTTTGACTGAAACTTTCTTATCAGTGTGATGTTGTTTTGAAATTTAACAAGGTTGCATGTAATTAAAATTAATTGTAATAAAATATATATTGTAATAAATAATATATATTTAACAAAGAAAATCTAGTTAAAACTTTTTAAAGAGAGAGAAAAAAAGTTAAAGAAAAAAATATATAATAATTCAATTAATGGCCTATTAAACTAACAAATTCGCAATAAACTTGATCTAATGTGGGAATGACTGTTCAGTTATACATATTTGGTGCACATGCAATTTGTACTTTCGCGATTTTCAACTTTTCTTCACAGAATTGCGCAGCAACTTGAAATCGCATTTGAGGTTCAGACTCAACGAACCGAGGTCTCATACAGTGCAATACTTTTATCGATGCTAATTTTCACGTCGAAACTCGATAAAGTCTTCCGCGAAGACCCCGATTGCAGAAGAAATTTGCGACGACGCGACCTACGCGAAGCGAAATAGTTTCTTGCCCGGATATGCAGGAGAGTCCGCCGGCCGGAAGTAGGTCGACCTAATCGTGCAAACGTCTGATGCTTTTAGCAAACAGGGGCGCGCCTAATCGCGGGAGCGTTCACGAGCCGTCGGGGGCAATCGGAGCTTTGCATCGTAGTTAAAACTTGCCGAGAGACAGTTTCTCGCCAGAATCGGGCGGCAGGGTGAATCCAAGGACGGCCATGCTGGCAATCAGGACGCACGGCACGATCAAGTTGAAGAAATAGTAAAGTGTGCGTCTCCGGATGATGACGACAAAGGTGATGTCAATGTATGGTTCTGGGCAGCAATTGTAGTAAATTACATTCCTCTTACCAGGCACCCCTGTGATGATAAAAAAAAATCAGATTATTAACAATAATACTATATTAGTCATACTATGATGTTAAAACGTTTGATAGAACGTTTGACATAAAATATTTTCAGTCTATGAACGCTCAAATATGACGCCGCGCACTTAGACGGATAATCGATGCATTTTGCTAATAAAAACAAGTGCGCACTCGAGCGCAACAAAAGATTGCCGGAAGCGAAAAATTCCTTTACTCTCTTTCCTGAATTATCCCTTGCAACGGGACAAAGAAAACCGAACGATTCTATCTTATATGTTATTCCTCCGAGTATCCACAAACTGGTGCACTCGGTTGCAGCTGCAGTTACTTAAGATACATTTCTACCGCGAGTCTCATAACCGCGGCACATACATTACACGTGCACATCGACCTACGTTATTCCCACGCGTAATGCATCGCACAATTTTTCGAGAAATACGCGAGATATGCGGATGTTTCTGTTCTCGCTTGTTATTGGAGTAACAATAAAAACGCTACGTGTATTTCTTGTGAGTTCACTTATAGCAGTGAATACACCAACGGCGAGAGAGAAAGAATTACACGTAATAGAACAATATATCATTATTACGATGTTTTTTTCGTGATATATACAGACCGGATATTTCCGTACTCTGTTGCACCGCAATTCCACTATCGGATATTATATGTGTTTATTTTCAAAACATTACATTATTGAACGATAAAGACGTTCGCGATAAATATATACCAAAATAAATATTACACAATGTCAGTAATTATTTTGTAGAATATAATTTATACGTATATATATATATGTATAAATTATATTTATTTATATATTATTGTATTTATCTGTATGTATACATCTCGTGTTTTATTTTGCAATCTTGTAGATCTGAGTAAATTTCGCGTAAACAGAGATTCGCTATTCGCGCATCGCATATATCTACATACATGCATACAACATGCAAAACAAATCCTTATTCTGAAGAATGCGAGATGGATGTTCAATGTAACGCGCGCGCGAGATCGCTTCCAATCGTTCAGCAGATTTCCGCGCGATTATTCAGTGACTGTGATGGACTATCATTCGCTTTTCGAATCAAGTGAGACGCTTTGCTGCAATCTCGCTCGCGACACTTTACCGATCATCCGACGTGTTCGCTGTAGAAAACACTAAACTTTGGACGTGCGCTTGCGACGTCTCGCGTGACCCAGATGCAGGCGATTTTGACGAGGACAAAGTGAAAGATCAATACCGTTTCCGATTTGCGAAACGATTGATCATCCATCCGTAGCCCGTGCAAGACTTTAGAATTGCTAATCGGCCGGGGAATCACTTTCGGCACGGAGAGCTTTATCCGAGCATGGCAGCAGTCCCCGATAAGGACTGTAAAAACTCACCCAATAGATCCCACTCGCCGTTAGTGATGAAACTGCTGATGTCACCCCCGGACTCGTCCTGCAGCTGCAGATCCAACTGTCGACAATTTATGACACTCGATTAGAGGTAAGTTATTGCGACCGCGCCGCGTGCAAGACGACTGTTTTGGGAGCGACGGGAGAAAATCTGTTCTACCGGGTGTGGCAAAGATACAGGTCGTGTCGTCTTGCTCGAAGAAACGCTTGCGAAATATATATATATTCCGGAATATATATATATATTCCGCAAGCGTTTCTTATATATATAAGCATTTCTTATATATAATATATATATAAAGCGCACGTCACCTTGCGACGCTTCTGTATGTGACACATGAATTAATTTGTACAATTTAGAACATCTCTCTTTCTTAAATTTTGTTTTTCCTTTGTGCTGTCTCTGTTAGTTTATCGACTTCATATAGCGCTGTTGGATGCTTCTCATGCGAATTCATGCATATTTACACAGGCCAATATGAGGCTCTCTTTCACTCGCAAATCTGCCGCAATTTCTGCGCGTTTGAATATCGATGCAAAATTTTTTCGCGCCAATTTCAACGTTCAAACCCACGACGAATTAATATCTGCGAGCGAATTGTTAAGTGAAAATGGCCGATCAAACCAAAAAGTCTGTTTTGCATCTCGTTTGTATTCAACGGATCGAACCGGACTCGGAGAAAATCGTGGCGCATTCCCTTTGTCGTACTCGCGCCTTGCGTCCCGCGTTTCCATTTCGTTCTCTGCTTATTGTCCTCCTTAATGAACCCTCGAGCGTTCTCGAATTGCCTGGCACTGTGTAATTCGCATCCTCAATTTTAATTATTCCGAAGTTGCACGCTCCACAATTGAAGCCTCGACGGGTACATTGCTCGCACGGCGGAAATGCACGTTTGGGCACTAAATAGATCTGCGCAAATTGCAGCCGATGCGTTATATGACATTGAGATGTAAAATTTTTACCGTTGCGCTGCGAAAATGATTGTTTCAGTAATTAGGCAATATCGTGTCGCACAAATGTTTCAAAATCATTAATTGACGATCACAGAATAGTTTATTGATTATTTATATACAATGTGTGATATAAATATTATTGAAATAATCATCAATAATGATGAATTAAATATTAAAACGGAAAGTTATATTCATATATTGTGTATATTATATTGATCACATTATTTTACATATTTATTTTCCTGCATAAAATCGCGACAGACTTTTATTTTCCGAGCGAATAACCAATAAGTATCGTTCAGACAAACGGACGCAATCCCGAGAAAGCTACTTTTCAACGGAGCTGACGAAAAAGCGGCGCTGTTGTTACGCGACCGGAAGAGTTTACTCAAAGTTCGCTCTCTTTTTTCGGAAGCTCACGAAACGAACGAATCTCACATCTCGTCAAACAGTGAAGATTCTCTCCTCTATCTCTTTTTTTCTTTTTCCAGATACTCTCTCCTCTATCCGTTCTCAGGTTCTAATCAAACTCCTCGACACCGCGCCGGTTTAAATTATTTCCGCATCTCGAGACGTACCGACGTGCTTTCGACAGATTGGAAAATTTGTAAGTTCGACGTCTGTGCCAGGCGTAAAAGCGAACATATCGAGACCGATCGGGAAAATGACAATTGGTTGACCCAATTCCGGTAATGCCTATCCCCTGTGCTCACCTGAAAACCGTCGTATGTCCAGGAGCCGAATTTCATCTCGCAACGCTGATCGTCAAAGGGAAACCAGGTAATGTCTATCTTGCAAGTGCTCTTGAATATACCGGGCGGCACGTACAAGCAAGTCCCATTGTTCTTTACGACGACGTTCGTCGGATAAGTGCCGTCGAAGCCCTCGTCGGCGCTGTAACGAACGAACAATCATTCGGGTTAACCTTTTGACGGCGTAATACTGCAAGCTGATTGCGTCCTATAACCTGATGTATTCGACACGTTGTAAAACCTGAATCTAAAAAATTGCCGCATAAAACTTTAAACGTTTCTTTTTTATATATGTGAATATCATCTTTTTATATCTTCTTCGCATTTTTCTTAAAAATATGAATAAAATATGAGGTTTTTCTCTCGAATAAAAATCTTTCTCGTCACTCATGTAATTTTATCCGCAATTTATTTGATTAGTGAAATTAAATTCGCATGCAATTTATATGTTTGTTTGTTCATTTGGTTCTCTTATAACGGACAGTTTCCGTGATTGAAATGTTTCGGGAGACACGTGTGGGACTTCCATCTTTCTTTACTCAGGAGACTGAACAATATTACACAACACGTGGGCACAGAACCTAGTACCAGCTCGCTGATATCCCCAAAGTAAACCCGTCGGTTTATCCCTTCCCTGCAATAATTTAGAGATAATTCGGTTGTCCCCAATGCCTGCTTTCCGAGAAGATGAGCGACTGCCTACTGTTTTATAATCACTATATGACGCAGTTAATAAAATAGTTTGTTAATTCACCCCATTTTCACATAAAACAGAACAATGCCGTACCTAACAAACAGCGATATAATTCTAATTTATAAAACGAATGTCAGTACTGTTGCACGCAAAATATAGAAGAGGTTTAGATTGGTTGTCAAATATAACAACAAATAGAAAGATACAAATGTAAATGTTACTAACTTCTATCTATGAATAATAAAAAAGTTCTTTTCATAAAAGTCTTCTTTTTTCAAAACGCTTACCGACTGCATTACCCATCCTTACTTTTCTTGTGCTATCTTAAGTTTATGTCGCAACTTACAGCAACGCAGGAATTAACTCCCAGGTGCCGAAGCGTTAAAGTAGACTCGAATAGACTAGGAGAAGCTAATTATGGATGAGTGTCTACCTCAGGCCTTTGACGTCCTGTATTTTCTATATTCCCTCGATTCCGTTCCATTTGCGTTATAACAAGCAGAACAAACGCTTCAACTTTTCACATATATCTTGACGCCAATTGACGCGACACTTATTTTTGTAACTTCTCCCCAGACTCGTTTGAGGGAAGACGTTCAACACTCTGTTCAACGCAGCTCTAACATGACGGATATTTAAACAAGGAATGTAGAAAGATAAATACAATTTGCACGTAAGTTAAGAGAAATTGAGTTTTTTTTCATAAAACTACTAGAAACACATAGCTTTACTCAATTTTAATATTTAGAATGTATTTTCGTGACGAATTGACAGATTCTTTTTTCAAATTAGTTATCTAAGCACATCTTTTCAATGATTTTCTGTTTTTTGAAAGTTTTCTCTTGGCCACCGCGAGATCTGAAAAAAGCGATTACACAATAACAAGACACATACATTCTGATCTTCGAGATAAAATAGCTTACTTAAATTCTTTTTTATCGTATATCGCTTCACCCACGCCTTGATTACTCGTCCGACTTAGAGTTAGTTGGAAGTTTTAAATTCCTTAATGACTTTCCATGATAGCTTTCCGCTTAATAATGCAAGTAAGAAATTTACCACATAAAAAGTTGCACGTGGAACAGCTGTCTATTCAAGCGTATTTAAGTCAATCTTAAAATAGTAAAAGAAATCTTAAGACCGTGTTTAGCGTACATCAGCTCCTAATTAAAGCTTTATTGAATATATATTCTTGTACTGGAAAGTTTTTCAATGTGGTAATAACGTTTAAACAATTATATAATATAATCATATAATAATTATAAAATTGGACGAATATCTAATGTACAATTACTTCATACTACAGATTGTGGTTTGGTCCACACCAAAAAGAATTAGATCAAGTACAATTCAGTCTTTTATTTTCAGTGGTACAACAATTTCTACTGAGCTGTATATAGTAGATTTTCAACAGAACACGTTGTATATTTCGTTTCTTCATTTATTTAATCAAGCATACACAAGCTCACATTGACGAGAAAATGTTGATGGAAGAGGTCAACGCGCGCTCCAACCGCGTTACTACAAAATTCTGCAAAATAGTGTTCTACATCAAATGCGTGCCTTGTATGATAACAAGAACGGTGCAAGAAAAGCTCGCTTGCGGAATTCTTGTGACTATATATATCGAGTCTTTTAGCATTACACAGCGCGTATAGTTTGCACGTTGCGTCTTCCTTTTTACATTATCTCATATAAAATGCTTATGTAATATAAACTTCGTATTATATGTATTATATATTTTTATGTACACATATTAAAAACATATTTTTTATGAGATTTATATCAGTTTCAAATGTGTAAGTTATATATTATATTATTTTAACATTTATAAATATTGTAAAATGTAAAAATACTTAAATATATGTAGTTCCTCAATCGTAAGTAATAATTACAAATCAATATTTACAATATTTTATGTACATATATACATATACATATATGTATATATATATTGTAGGATCCTTTCGGATTCGGATTTATTTAGTTATATTAAAAAAATTATTTATTAAAATTTTCTCAGTTTAATTAATTAAATATAAAAACTTATTTGTGTTAGCGATACTCAGTCCGTTTCGGAGCGCGTAATCTGTTCGTCTTCCCTCATCGACGGACCTTTTGTTTTTTCTCAGCATTATGTCTTTAATCGTTAATCGTTGTTTCATTGTTCGAATTCGACGTCAACATACATTGAGTAGAAAAAAATCGAGAAACATATTTATCAATAACATATTTATCAATAAAACGGTCGCACAAATATACAATCTCGTATTGTGAAAATTCTCAACCGTTAAATATTCGAGAACGTAATTTGACAAAAATACACGCAAGATAATTTCGGTTCCTGCAATATTCTATATGAAATAAACGATGCGTGAGAATCAAAGCTACATTGTCGATGGCTTCTCCAGGCTCTTGTTTCAAAGAGTAAAAGTAATTACATGTGAATAGATTATACAACGAATTACTGTTTGAGTTGTTTTGCCAACCAAAAGAAGATCTGAAACGTTTCCGTTTTATTAAAAAAGACTACTGTCGCAACGACATGTACGCATAGAAAAAATCGCTGGTGATTTTCTCAGGCTCTCAATCCAATCCTATCGTTCAAAGATTAATGATTTTTCATAATGATATCATCTCTCGCCAAAGTTCGTTCCTCTGCATTTAGTTCACTGAATACTCTCACGTGCACCATATTACTTATCGTAAGAATGAACCCGTTATCGCGAATGCAACGTTTCGAGCACCGTTCCGGAATTCTTAATGAAACAGTCACGAGGTTCTTACAAATCGATTCACCCATATATACGTTACAATCATTCTTCATTCTTACTATTCTCTACTAATCGCTCCTCAGAGAGAGCGGCCGCATGAGAGGGAATCGTAATCGTGAATGAAAATTGCTCAGACGTTTAACACAACGGTTCAAATGTGCGATTACGAACGTCATATTCATATTGCAGATGTCGACTCGATGCACAAGTATTGCATTCTAGATTTGAGTCACAATCTAAATTCGTAGAAAACTCTCAGACTTTATAAATGATCGCGTAAAATCAATTTACGAACTATCAAAACTTTTCCATGTAGAAGTACTACATAGAAATTTTACATATAGAAGTGTCGCATCTAATGTTACGGGACGGATTTTATTTCTATATACAAAAGTTTATTTGTAAAACGTCACACTAGAAAGCTATACCGAGATCAAATCGCTCCACTCTGCACGCCTTATACCTCCTTCTTTGGATTTTTGATGAGGGCGACTTCACGAAGAAATATGATTTTGAATGGGATGCATCGGAGCGATTCCGCGAATATAAGACGGCTGAATAGTATATATAATACACTCCCGGTCGTATCCGAGCGACTAAGGATTGGTTGGAACAGGGCCAGTTGGCTGCAACCCAATCCGTTATTTCATTCTTTTCGAATCCATCCTCTGTACCACCTCGTGCTCACTATACCCCCAAAACTATCTCGCGCGGTACACCCCAGCGCCACACCCATCGTCATCCTTAACGAACTGTGTGTTTTGCCTTTCATTTCGTTTTTGTTGTCCGAATGAATCGCGCAAGTCAGCGTACGTAGGAAACGCGTACATCTTATTCAGATCCCATCGTCATAATCTTTTGTCCACGGATAAATATCCTACAATGTAAATATTCTTAAAGGGATCCTAAAAGTGGATCTGTTTTATCGACAAAACTGTGTTTTTTGTGCACACTAATCTTTTTTTTTAAGGGGGGAGGGGGGGTGAGAAAAAAGTAAAATTTGTAAAACATTTTTTAAATTTAAAATAATTTTGTTATATAAATTTGGACTTCCCGGATTTCTTATTGTATATACTTCAATTGTAAGAAAGGATTTATTAATGTGTGTAGGCAAAAAAGATTAGTGTGCATAAAACTCATTTTAGGATCTCCTTAATGCTTTTTTCTCTCTTTCTTGTCATATTTTAACATATAACAATAAAAAGATTTGCTATATAAACATCCTAAGACAATTCTCTGTCACTTTGTTCGAAAAATGATACGGGCATTTTATTTGGTTAAGCTCAATCAACTCAATTGAGCAATCGATACACATTGTCATGAAACTTTGAAAAAGACCCATCGTTATGTTTGCAAACAGTAGTGTCACGCAAATTACTGCTAACATAATTTTTTTTCCTGTTTTTCTGGCGTCATACCAGATTGCGTAGTGCGCAGTTTTACTACTTTGGTTTCCGCACAAAAGCGTCGTCCTCGGAAAGTGTTGAGAGACAGAAAAATTGGCCGCGCGTTCCTTTGAGCGCGTATCCGTTCGTTTAACTCGCATACGGTAGCAAATATGGCAAACAAGAGCGCAATAAATAGTATATAGGGTAAAAAACTAAGAGCAAGCATATTGATTCCGCAATGCAAGCGTTTCACTCACCTACATGCAATCAATCTTTCTGCATGGAA